CCAAAACTCAATAAAATCAAAGTAAAAAGGTCATATTCGGACTCAGCGTGAAATTCTCTATCCGAATATGTGTATTAAAAGCGGAAATAAGATGTTGCTCCTCCTTTGAATTAGCGGCGCCTTATATCAATTCTATCATGCATCGTCTAATACTCGTCTTACTCTTATTGACAATCGGTAAGTGGGATTTTTATTCAGAAGTAAAGAAAGCATCCATATAATCTATTATTTTCATATCTTTTTAGTCGTTATATTGTCTACAGCTGGAAGTACGGCTTCAGTACCAGGTCATTGTCGATGGAGTAGTAGTCCTCTTTGTTGGTGTGGTTAGCGCCGTCCGATAGCATGGTGTAACTAGGATTTAGTTGCCGTTCTACTTTTCGACAGACAGCTTTCGACACTGCCGGATTTTTCGCTCGAAATTCGACAGTGTCGAAACACGCTGTCGAAAAGTGTTTCTATCGAGCTGCGAAATTACCTGTAACTAATAATAATGTCATGGCGAACAGTTTCTACACTTACTCACTACTTATTCCCTGTCCGAAAAAACTATCATTTTTCTATTTCTCCAAGTAAATGTTCCTTGCATGATTTATTTCAACAGAAACTTCTCGGCTGCTTTCGTAAAAACCATGTCACTATATGCTCGTAAGGAGATGAGCCTCTCTAACAATGTAATCATATTGCGACGTATAAAATTTCAGAATTATTTTAAGAACAATGGCCGATGTTCCTACTCTGTCATTTATTACAAACTCACTGACGAACTACACGATATACCAAGAACAAAATACAGTCCAAATTTTCTTATATCGCTTGATGAAGTTAATTACTATTCTATTAATAGATTTTTAAAAACATGATTTTTTGCAGTAGTTCTTATTTTTTTAAGTCGGTTCTGTTTGTACAGGAAATATAAAAGTTCAGTTTCGTAGAGCGACAAATTCCCTACAAGACAGGCTAAGTTTCAAATTTTAAAATAGATCGCATAAGGACGAAATTTTGAAAACGTTTTTGCATTTTTCTGAGTTTTTCTCGGGATATCAAAACTCCAAAGCAAGGTTATACTTAGGATCGGAGTTAAAAACTGAACCAAAAAAAATCTGACGTTTTTTCAACTGCTCGTAGTTAAGTTTTGACAAATTTTCGTAAACGGGTGCGGAGTTAGCAATGTTTTCCTACATTTTTTATTGCTTATATTTTATTGCATATTATGTAGGTAGACATAATATGTGTATTCTCGAAGACAATTCTAAGTGAAAGGAAATGCAAATCTAGCCAAAATCAATGCAAAAAGAAGAGAGAAACAACGAATTCGCAAAAATGGCAGCACGTTTTTGGACAGTTCTCTGAATCTCAAAGCCACATTTTCGACATATATTTAGAATTCTAGTTGTGTGAGAGATGCAAAAATGAAATAAGATTTTCTCGAGAATGGGGAACGGTTTTCGAATGGTTGGAAATCCAACAGTTCCTGAAGTCTGTTCGGAAATCTTTATTGGGTTTCGAAACAGTTTCCAAAGAAGTCGGGGTTTTCATAAAAAATGCTTTATTTTAGAGAGTACATTAACAAGCATCTCTAAATGTTTTTGAATTGCAAAGATTATATGCGTATTTTTTGTCATTATTTCTTTTTACAGTTTGAAACATAATAAAAGTGACACGAAATAAGTAAAAATGAAAAATACATGCACAAAATGACAGAGAAGAAGAGGGAGAGAAATAGAATGTAAAATATTTTTGTTTTTAGATGAGCGTAGCAATTTGACAGACTAATCTTAAGGAAAATATTGTATGAAAGACTAGAAAAGGTAATTTGAATTCAACACAAAACACTTAATAAGTGTATATATACATTCGATTTGATAGTAATAAAAATGATAAAGCACAAGAGCAATTTTATTTGTTGACAATTGCATCCTGTGTTGTTGTTGTATAACATTCGATCTTTTTCATGAATCTTTGCATTGCTTGTTGGCCCAACCATGGCATTGTTGCAGCCAAAAGTAAATATAATAATGATTCAAAAAATTCATACCATACGGCCGATCCAGACCACATGTTTCCAATTGATTGTAATATTTCCTGTCCGTCTTCCAGTGTAAGTTCTCTTCTCATAAGACCTTATTTTGAATAAACAAGAAAGACAGCATGACAAAATCTCGTTACACAGATGATAAATTTGCTTACATAGCACCATCCCTGATAATAATACAAGTGGATTTTGACCTAATACTGATGGTGTTCCTCGTCTGCCTCTGACAGTTAATGTTAAAAGGACTGGACCAATCCTTTTTGTAAACTGCGATGTTTTATCAATCAAATCCTATTAAAGAGGAATAGATTATATACTAAGGATAGGATGGCTGCATTACAAAGAAGCGTACTTTATTTTGGATTTGAAAATTTTTATATCGCTGAAAAATTGTAGTAATCACCGTGGATATTTTGCTTCTAAATATAGACAAAAAGTAAACATCGAATGAATGAGAAAAACGCATTAGTCTTACAAAATATTTGTTTCAGGTGTCAATGCTACTGAAATTTTGTCGTGTGCTGTTTGCAAGAGTTGATCAGAACTAAAAAATGATCGTATCGATATAATCAACAAGAGAAAAGGATTTATCTTTCATTTACCTAACTCCTTTTCCATTGTTCATTTGCTCCCATTTGGCTATCTCTAGTATTTGTTCAATCAATGCTACTTCAGCATCGTCATTCATTTGTACATGTACTTCTGAGGATGCCATTTTTGTCACTGTCATTTCACTACATAATTCATTCGATAATGGTCCGCGTTCAACAGAAGACGTTACAATATTATTGAGTACTTTTCTAAAATCGTTCAAACTAATATTGACTTTCTTCTGTAATGATGCCGACTGCTGTTTTGGTATATCACGAATAATTTCTTTTTGTCCATTATTACTACTAGAGTGGAAGATAGAAAGTGTGCAATATATATCTATAAAAAGCAGATTAATATCAAAACTCACGCTAATAAGTAACTTTCATGGAGTGTACGTGCTATTTGGCCATCATTATCTGTACTGTCATCATTGTCTATATTTGACGAAGTGGAACTGCTAGAAAATAATATAGAAATAAATGCATATGCATTAACCAAACTTTTACCTTTCTTCCAATGATTGAAAAATTGCTAGTTGTATGTCTTCTTCTTCATCTCTATTCACATATTTTGCACATTTACGGCTAGAAATAAACGAAACTCACATTACAAGCAATTTCAACAATTGTTATTTTCTCTCTACATCAGTTCATTGCAAATAAGAAACGTTCAGCCTACTACTGACCTTCTCAAGTACTGTGACGACATCTTATAAGAAACGTTCAGCCTACTACTGACCTTCTCAAGTACTGTGACGACATCTTATATGAAACTGTAAAACCAATTGCAAACGGCTAATCTGAAAAATGACAACAATGCGTGAAGTCTGTAAGTCATGACAATATGAATTGTAGAACATACAACTTAAAAAACCAGAAGGAAGAGCAGTAGAGAATATTGAACAGGATAAAGAGTATAAAACTGTCAGAGATGAAAGCTGTTAGTGACGCGCCGGCACTATAAAATGTCGACGAATCAAAAAACAAATTAACGTGTCGACGAGCCCAGACTGAAGCTGCAGAAACATCAGCTTTATATACAAATTGGAAACGACGCATAATTAAAGAGAGTTTACTTATCCGTAATAGCTATGAACAGTAAATGAATGACGTTAAATATAAACTAAAACTATTCGGTTGTCGATCATTACTTCGTGTTTAAGAGTAACCCTCCCCTCATTTTGGGCGTTCCATAGAAATGCTGTGAAATAAAAACTAAAATTCACTAAGGCTTCGTATTTTCAGAACTGATTATAAACTCAATGGAGCACTTTTTCATTTTTCCTTCAAGCTTTTAACGATTGTCATTCCTCAGCTTTCCGGAAAGTTCGGTTTTTCATTGGACCACATTACAAAATTTCATCCGATCGAGTTAAAAATGTTACCGTAGGTACTCAAGGTCATAGCGCAGAGATATTATTTCTTTTAGATCTTTCTTTACCGAATTATAGGAAAAATACTGAAAAACTTTCAAAAACCAAGTTTTTAAGTTTTAGAAATCCTATAACTCGGTAAAGAAACGTCTAAAAGAAATTTTCAATTGATCTCTGCGCTATGATTTTGAGTCCGTCCGGTAAAATTTTTAACCCGATCAAATGAAACTTAAGGGGGATCGAAATGTGGTCCAATGAAACGCCGAGTTTTCTGGAAAACTGGTGGACGGCAATAGTCAGAAAGTTCAAACAAAAACGAAAAAGTGTTGCAAGGAGTTAACGCAAAGCTCAAAATGAGGTGAGGGGTACCGTTAATCAAAATACAATT